CGCCCCCCGCCCCCCCTCCCAGGTCGACTGCGGCAAGGACAGCGGGGGTGGCACGGGGAGGTCGAATGGGGGGGGGATCTGTCTTCGTGTTACGAAATAACCACGTGTGAGCGTGGACGAGGGGATGCCAAGGGCAGTTGGGGCCCAAGGAATAGCCTCCCCTTGACCTTTACACAAAGGAGTGCTCGTCAATGGCTCTGCGTCTGCGAGGAGGGAAGTCCCCAGTGGAGTGCCGCAGGGCTCGGTCCTGGGCCCGGTGTTGTTCAAGGTTTTTATAAATGACCTGGAGGGAGACATAGAGCGGATGCTTAACAGATTTGCAGATGACACGAAGCTGGGTGGGATGGCTAATTCCGAAGAAGACAGAGTCAGGACTCAAAATGATCTAGATAGGCTGGAAATGTGGGCTGAGACAAATACAATGAATTTCAGTAGAGATAAGTGCAAAGTCCTACACTTAGGTACAAAAAATCAAAGGCACAGATATAGAATGGGAGGGACTTGGCTTGACAGCACCACATGTGTTCTGGTGGATCACAAGCTGAACAAAACCTATTGAGGCAGACTCAGCATGGGTTCTGTAAGGGAAGATCTTGTCTCACAAACCTGTTAGTGTTCTTTGAGGGAGTGGAAAGCTTTTGATAAAGTTCCTCATCAAAGGCTCCTAAGTAAGCTCAAAAATCATGGGATAGAAGGACAAGTCCTTTTATGGATCAAAAACTGGCTAGTTCATAGAAAACAGAGAGTGAGTGTAGGTTGGCAATTTTCTCAGTGGAGGGGGGTAAACAGTGGGGTACTGCAGGGATCAGTACTTGGTCCACTGCTTTTTAACTTGTTCATTAATGATTTGGAGTTGGGAGTAAGCAGTGAAGTGGCTAAATTTGCGGATGATACGAAGTTGTTCAGGGTGGTGGAAACCAGTGAGGATTGTAAGGGGATCTGTCAAGGATGGGCGAGTGGGCGTCAACATGGCAAATGGGGTTCAATGTGGCCAAGTGCAAGGTGATGCACATTGGAGCTAAAAATCCTAAATATAAATACACATTGATGGGGTCTGAACTGGCAGAGACTGATCAAGAGAGAGATCTTGGAGTTGTAGTGGATAACTCACTGAAAATGTTGAGACAGTGTGTGACTGCAATAAAGAAGGCCAATGCTATGCTGGGGATTATTAGGAAGGGTATTGTAAACAGATCAGCCAATATCATAATGCCCCTATATAAATCAATGGTGAGACCTCATTTGGAATACTGTGTGCAGTTCTGGTCACCACACCTTAAAAAGGATATTATAGCTTTGGAAAAAGTGCAGAAAAGGGCAACTCGAATGCTAAAAGGGTTGGAACACTTTCCCTATGAGGAAAGGTTAAGGCGCTTAGGGCTCTTTAGCTTGGAGAAACGACGACTGAGGGGTGACATGATTGAGGTTTATAAGATCATGCATGGGAAAGAGCAGGTAGAGAAAGAGGTACTTTTCTCCCTTTCTCACAATACAAGAACTCGTGGGCACTCCATGAAATTGCTGAGCGGTCGGGTTACAACGGATAAGAGGAAGTCCTTAACCCAAAGAGTGATGAACACCTGGCATTCACTGCCACAGGAGGTGGTGGCGGCTACAAGCATGGACGGCTTCAAAAGGGAATTAGATAAGCATCTGGAGCAGAGGTCCATCAGTGGCCCCTATTAGCCACAAGGTATAGATAGGAACCCTTGGTCGGGGGCCAGTGATGCTCTGTATTCTTGGTGCGGGGGGGGGTCAACAGTGGGAGGGCTCCTATCGTCCTGGCCCCACTGGTGGACCTCCTGAGGGCCCCTGGTGTTTCTGGCCACTGGGTGACAGACAGAGTGTTGGACTGGATGGGCCTTTGGCCTGATCCAACATTGGCATCTCTTATGTTCTTATGTAACATGAGCCTGCAGTGCGATGTGGCTGTGAAGAAAGCTAATGCAATGTTAGGATGCATTAACAGAAGCATTGTGTCCAGATCATGGAAGGTGGTAGTTCTGCTTTATTCTGCTATGGTCAGGCCTCACCTGGAGTTCACCTGACATTCTGCCCACCTAAAGAACTATCTCCCGGTTAAACCGGGAGAGCTCCCAGTTTTCCTGGAAACTCCTGGTGAAACCCCCGCAAAAGCTGAGGGGCCCGAATATCCCCTACTTCCACCCATTCTTGGTGCTGGGGTCCAAAGTCCACCCATTGAATCAAATAATACAGTTTGCCACGCTTCCGTTTAGAGTCCAGGATTTTAGACACTTGGAAATGTTCCTCGCCCTCCACAGTGAGAGGAGGGGGCACCGGCTTCGTCGGGCGCCAGGGACTTGGACCTGGGTCCTGCTTCAGGAGGCTGAAATGAAACACAGAATGGATATTCCTCAAGTTTTTAGGAAGTTCTAGATCCACAGCAACCTCGTTTGACTTTAAACGGGCCAATGAACTTCCAACCCAGTTTGCGGCTGGGGCTTAGAACCTTAATGTTCTCACTAGAGACATAACCAGAGTCACCAGGCTGCAGAGCCCAACCCCCCACCCTGCTCTTGTCAGCCGGGTCCTTGTAAGCCTCCTTCGCCGCCACTAATATTTTGCCCAACAAAGGCCAGGAGTCTTTAAGTTGTTGACACCACCGTGCAGGATCCCCCAGGCCCAAGGTGTCGCCCTCGAGGAACAGCATGGGGGGGCTGTCATAGCCATAGAGCGCTTTGAAAGGGGACATTCCCATAGAGGAGTGAGTCGTGATGTTGTAGCAAAATTCAGCCAGCGGTAGCAAGTCAGCCCAATCATCCTGCTGGTAGTTGGTGAAGCAACGTAAATATTGTTCCAAAGTTTGATTCACACGTTCGGTCTGGCTATCAGTCTCTGGGTGATGTGCTACTCATGGCCCTGTCCACCCCCATGAGTTTCAACAGCTCCCCCAAAAATTTAGAAGCGAATTGGGTCCCCCTGTCAGAGATAATTTTGCCCAGGAGCATGTGAAGGTGCACCACGTGTTGTAAAAATGCCTTCGCTAAAACCTTTGCGGAGGGCAAGGAAGCGAAGGGGACGAAGTGAGCCTGTTTAGAAAACAGGTCAACAATCACCCAGATGACCGTCATGGGTTTACTAGGGGGCAAGTCTGTGATAAAATCCATGGAGATCACTTCCCATGGTCGACTTAGAGTGGGAAGCAGTTTCAGTAGCCCCGGGGCTTTCCCCGGTCTAGGTTTGCACATGACACAAGTTTGGCAAGACTTAATGAACTAGGACAAATCCTTGCACATGAGTGGCCACCAAAACTGTCTTTCTAAGAGCTGAAGGGATTTGACAAACCCTGTGTGGCCAGCGAGTTTGGAGCCACGGACCGCTGCCAATACTCCCCCCCCCACAATGTTTTAGGGACGAATAGTTTCGTGCCACGGTACCAACACCCATCCACTTTCAGTTCCAACCACCCGTCCCCTTCCACCTCCACTCCGTCATCATCCGAGAAGGCGGAGGCAAATCTGGCAGTCCAGTTGGTCCCTCCCACTTGAGCAGGAGGGGAGGGGGCAGACCCGGGTGGTGGACCCGGGGGAGGGGCCCGCACGGGTTCAAGTTTTCACCACCCCACCCAGCTGCGAAGGCGTGAACATGGAGTCCAATATCTCCTCCCTTTGGCTGTCGTGTTGAGGGAGGCATGACAGTGCGTCAGCTAAGGAATTCACTGAGCCCGGGAAATGGTGGAGCGTGAACCAAAACTTAGAAAAGAAATCAGCCCACCGTAATTGCTTAGCATTGAGACTACAGGGGTTTTTCAACACTTCCAAGTTTTTGTGATCAGCCCCTTCAACCAGTGCCTCCATGTAGAAAGTGCTAGCCGGATTGCTCCCGCCTCTTTGTCCCACACAGAC